GGTGTTTGGGTATGTGTCTGTTTCATTATGTTCGCTATACACAACTCCATAAAAAAAGCACGACTAAGCCAGACTGTTTCGTCGGACTTCCACCGACTCATCAGGAGGTTGAACCCCGACAGTCTCACCATGTCGTGTGTGTGTGTGTGTGTGTGTATGTGTGTGTGTGTGTGTTTGTGTGTGTGTGTGTGTGTGTGTGTGTGTGTGTGTGTGTGCCAGACACATGTGAAGTCGCAGTCGAGCGTCGTAGTGTAGAGTGCAGTAGTAAAGTCGAAGTCGAGCGTGGTAGTGCAGAGTGAAGTAGTAAAGTCGAAGTCGAGCGTAGAGTAGCGTAGGGGTCAATCTTTCCCACGCCGTGGGATTTGCCCGTGCCTCCACCAAAAACGTGCATGCCGCCATGCGCCATCCAAAAGGGCCGCCTACGGGAACCACTTTGCCCGTTGGGAAGCCCGTGCACAGAAACGGCCCGCTCCAATGGGCAAAGTGGCTCCCAGCGAAAAGCCTCGATCGGGTCCTGCCTGATCAATCTGGGCCGTCAGGCCCGTGGTACCGCGCGTCAATCCGGCCCGTCGATCCGGTAGGACCCGACGGCCCAGATGGCAGATTTGTTACATGGTTCGGTCTATCAGGGCCGTGGGCCGGTAGGACCGACGACGGCCCGGACTTTAGATTTGTCACGTTAATAGTGTAGGGATATTCGAGAAGTTGGGAAAAAAAATGAAAACGAAATAGCAATGCTATTTTAGGCCCATTGCCGATCCGGATCAGATCCAGACATCCAAACCCAGACAGAAATGTCTGGATCTGGATCAGATCCAGACTTCCATGGATTCAAACTCAATCTGACATTCAACCAATCCAACCTTTACTAAATCTCATCTTTAATCAATTTAATGGTCAATAAACAACAATTTCCTCAAAACGGACATTTTTTATTTTTTGAACGAAATTGAAAACTCATAAATTGGCCCGATTTAGGTTGACATTTTCAGCTCCTGAGGGTACGGCGTTCTGAAAACGCCCTAACCCCTGGATGCAAGCTAAGTCGAGATACATGCAGGGGGGTACGGCATTTTCAGAACGCTGTACCCCCTGGACCCCAGCTAAGTCCAGATACATCCAAGGGGTGCGGCATTTTAAGGACGTTAGACTGTCAGGAGCTTGAAATTTCCACCTAAATCAGGCCAATTTATGAGGTTTCAATTTCGTTCCAAAAATACAAAATGTCTGTTTTGACGAAATTGCTGTTAATACATCTAATATGCGGCTTCTGCGGCTTCTACGTTCTTAAAAAAAAAAAAAAAAAAAAAAAAAAAAGAACTATTTCAAAAATATTGTTCCTGTCCGAAGACTTCTGCGGCTTCTGCCATAACTGTTTTGCCTGTCAAAAGAGTTCAGACTTGAGAAGGAGGAGGAGGACGAGAAGGAGGAGGAGGACGACGACGACGACGATGAAGAAGAAGAAGAAGAAGAAGATGGCAACGACGACGACGACAACGAAGAAGAAGAAGAAGAAGAAGAAGAAGAAGAAGAAGAAGAAGCACTAACCTGCTTGATAGGCTTGGTTCCATGAAGGAAGTCACTCTTGTGCTCATTCATAAACTCTATCAGCTTTGGTACATCTTCTCTTCTGTATATATCCCACAAAGCACCACCGTACTCATCATCTGTTTCATGCTTCCTGTGTGCAAGTGCACTTTGCTCCCCCAGCTGACTCCCGCCGCTACTGCCGCTGCTGCTGCTGCTACTGCTGCTGCTGCTGCTGCTGCTAGCACTCGACTGCTCATTAACAACAACCTCACCTGTAGCCTCTGCTTCTGGCAACTTCTTTTTGCCTTTGGATTTTAACCTGCCCTTTGCCTGGCCAGTGCCCTTTGCTCTTCTTTTATCCAAGGGGAAGCTCGTTGATGTCATCGCTTCTCCATTTTTGCAGTCCCCATCCTCTTCTCTGATGTGCCTTGCATCACTGCCAATGAGAATATTCGACAAACTTCCCCTGTTGGATGGCAATCTTCTCCGGGGAACTGTATCTCGAGCTGCTTTAATATTATCCTTCTGCCATTGCTGAAGCGGTGTCGACTTTGTGTGGAGCAAAACATTGACCTATTCCATATTTATTTACGCAATCCAAACAGCACACAACCATATAAGGGTCATGATAAGAAACAAAAAACAAGATGAAGCACTCAGCTGCTATCTTGGTCTCCTGCTGATGATATCAAACAATAGTGAAGAAAGTTCAACCAACATAATTGAGTGACCATCCATCATCATGACACGAAGATATAAAAGATTGTTCATCGCAAGCATGTCCTGTGAAAGCGTCATGGAAGATCTGACGAAGAAAGTTCAGTCAACATATTTGAAATAATCATCCATCACCATGAGAACAAAGGTACAAGAGGTTGTTCAGATAAAAAATGCCCAGAGAAAGTGCCACGAAAAATCTGGAAACATGCGACTCTACTGCCCACCATAACCGCCAGTCAACGCCTGACACATCAAGCATCTTTCTAGCACCATCAGAGCTTGCACTTTCCACTGAGCAAAGCACGATGCAGCGGCAGCACCATGGTAAGGCACTATGACGTTATCACAAGGCAATAGCATAACGAAACGTCAACAGGGAAACAGGCGTAAGGAGGCAGACAATCATTGACCTAATCATAGCACCCAACAGGCAAGCATACCGTGAACAGACAACCGATCAGCAGTGCAAGAACCAAGGGGTACACATTGACAAAAGTCACTCTGCTACTTGATGCAACTGTGCAGTTGTTGAGTGGAAAATGTAAGGGTGTGTATGCACGTAATGGCGTGTATGCACGACAGAGCACCGCAAGGGCGAAGTGCAAGATGACTGTATTTCTCAAAGTTGCAAGGAACGATGAGCCAGGAATGCAAGCCGACAGAGAATGATGACACTCGCAAGAGCTCCGTGTCATTGCACACAGCATATCAGTGCAGACTCCAGACCTCACAATCAGAATGCAGCATCCACAAATGCAGAGCACAAGTAGGCTGCATCAAAAGGGCATGTCAGAGTGAGGCAGTATCAAAAGGGCAAATCCAGTGACTTCATTGACTTGGAAATCCATACGATGACCTCACACTACTAGCGCCTCTTGACGCCGTAGACCAGGGTAGGGACTCAGGAGGTATTGCCGCCTCTTTACCCTCAAAAACAGGCTGAAGAGGCGGCAGTAATGGGAGATCAGGGTTAATGACTCAGCGACATCTATTGCACCATCTTGTTTTCCTCCCTGCCCATGCACACCACCTCCTCCCCGCAAATCCAGTGACTTCATTGACTTGGAAATCCATACGGTGACCTCATACTACTAGCGCCTCTTGACGCCGTAGACCAGGGTAGGGACTCAGGAGGTATTGCCGCCTCTTTACCCTCGAAACAGGCTGAAGAGGCGGCAGTAATGGGAGATCGGGGTTAATGCCTCAGCGACATCTATTGCACCATCTTGTTTTCCTCCCTGCCCATGCACACCACCTCCTCCCCTACACTCCTCTCCCACCTTTCTCATCGCCGCCAAGAGAGGCACCCGGGGTATGATGACAGCAATGACCTACAACATAATTTCCGCTTTTCCTTGTCATGGACTCGTTGCTAGCCTTCTTTCACCTTCTCTATTTCTTATACTATTGACTTGCTTTTGTTTTGAACAACAAGGGGCCTCTCATTCCTTGGGGGCAACAGTTCGGTAATTCGGTTGAACGCGAAAAGTTCAGCCGGGTTTATCTGGGTCCAAATGGTCCGGCTGTGCCAATCCAGACAGATCTGTTGGTAGACGGACTCGGACAAACCTATTCAGAACCGTTTGTGAGACCCTGACCCAGACCCATTTAGATGGCGCAGCTGGACCATCCTGGCCTGAAAAATCTGACTGGACTTTCAGCCCTTCAACCTCCCTTTTCAGGTTATTCTTTCAAGACACCTCAGATGACCACAGTCACAATGGCAATGTTTTTTACCTAGCTCAGTTGGTTGAGCACATAAGTGGCATTCAGGAGGTCGTGGGATCGGTTCCCCATGTCGTCCTTCCGACTCCCCATGGCACGTGTGGCAAGCTTAGGGCTCACCAGTGGAGATGGTCAGCTTGGTCCTCCTGGGAGGCTGGGGTGGTCCGGGGTTCTTCCCAGCTTTTGCCAGGTGTTAGAGAGGGTACTGCTCCCCACACTGAGCTCAGGATGGGCTCCTTTCCATAACCATGGGCGGTTCCGGCTGGGGACCCAGCATACATATGAAAAATATATGCAAGCTGTCCCCCCTACGAGGAGAAACGTCAGAAGACAGCTTTTTTTTTTTTTAAGAAGCGCCAGGAAAATGAGCAACAGCGAGATGACAAATCCAGATTACACAATCACATTGAAAGCCAGATAGTCACACCGTGTCCAGAGAGCAGCATTGCACCAATAATACACCAATGGAGGTTCGTAGTACTGAAAACCAGTGTCACGGAGAGCTTTCTCTCTCCACACCAACACAAGAGTCCAGTCCCTTCACTCTCCTACTTGGCGCTCAGCGCCCAGCCTACTCCTACACAGCTATTATCAGCCTACTAATTGACAATGCAACTGTTGACATCAGCGGCAACCCGAAGTACTTGAAGATGTCGCCCAATGCAGACCATCGCCAATACAAGGTATGTGCCCTCACATCATCATCATCATCATCCTTCACCCTTCCCTGACTTTACACCCACGTCTTCCTCCCTTACACCCGAAGACCACTCATGCGCCTCACTGTAGTCCAAGCCCACCAGCTATGGTGGATGGGCTATGGCGCTGCCCTCAGCAGCGCCCTTCTTCCCTGCACGACCGCACGTGCTGCACTTCGCCTCTCAGCGCCAGCAGCAGCCCACGAGCCTTTGCTCCAGCAGCGCTGCCGCTAGCATGCGAGTGCCTGAATTAGGCTGAGAGTGGCGAGCTCTTTCCTTTATGGAAAGAGCCTGTCTGCTTCGCAGCCTGGCTGGGTTGGGCCTGGGCCCAGAAGCTTCCGGTAGGCCCCAGGATGCTGCGTGCTATTTTGCAGCTACTGGGCCGCTTTCGGTTGGGCCTCCCAACTGTCAGTGTATGAGGCTGCGTTTCTCGCCCAGGGCCTGCATTCTTCGGAAAGGCCCAGAAGGCTGTGGAAATGTCTTGGTTGCTTGGCCTGTGTTTCTCTCAACCAACTGGCGCGCCGCAACTGCCTGTACCCCAAATATGAAATTGACAGTCAAAGGCCTCTTGTGATATGTTAGGCCCGCCTTCACTTTGGGCGGGCACCACTGCAACCGGGGCCCCTTAGGCCTGCCGAGGACTCAGATCCTCGCATTCCCTCCTCCTTTACTTCGTTAGTCCTCTGAGAAGTCTGTTACTCTGCAGGCATCTTCCCTTTTAGTTCTCTTTCATAGCCTGCAATCACTTGAGGTGCTGTTCTCACGAGTTCCTCTCGTGTGAACCAGCGATCTTCTTTAGGATCCAAATGATGTCTGAATCTCACACGATACTGCATTCTTGGTTTAGGAGGGCGGCCTCTGCCTGATGGTCGAGGTACTGGCATCTTCTTACTCATGTACTCGATCGGTGAATAGAAAAGTTTCTCTCAATGTCCACTTCGCCATCCATGGTTGGGGGCAGCATTGATCTCCTTGAGGGAAACTGATCAGTGGCAGCGAAAGGTGCCAGCTTGGATGCATGGAAAACAGGGTAAGTGCGCAAGTGTGGAGGGATGCGAATCACGTATAAAGGCCCATCCGGTTGATCCCCTACAATGTCTAAGATCTCCCAGGGCCCAAAGTACTGTGGCATTAGTTCACGTGAAATGCCTAACTCCTGACCTAGTTCAGATGACTTAACCCAGACTCTATCATCTACCTGAAAGTTAGAGGGCCGTCTGTGCTTATTCTCAGATGCGATCATTGCATCCTGAGATTTCCTGATGTGTTCAACGGCTTGCTGCAGCATCTGATCATATTTGACAGCAAACTCTATGCTGCCAGGTGCTGCAGCGGGTTCTCTTTCTGGTAGCAGAAAGTCAAGTGCGGTTCTGGGTTTCCAAGGTGCAGTTGGTTAGGAGTCATACCAGTAGTACTGTGCACAGCATTGTTATACAGGCTGGCGACGAGAGGTAACTTCTCGTCCCAGTCATCCTGACTAGGCTTAATATAATGCCGAAGCAGGTGCTGTTCATCTGTTCTGCCTGGCCATTTGACTCACGGTGATTCCCTGACGTCATTTGGAGCTTGGTAACCATCTTTTCAGCAGTTGATTGCCACAGTTCACTGGTGAATCTCACATCCCTGTCACTAACAATAGATGTGGGCAAACCGAAGTCCCGTACCCAGTTATCCATAAAGAGTTGGATGACATAGTCAGTTTTAGCATTTTCTGGCATAGCGATTAGTCAGGCATACTTAGAAAAGCGATCCAATATAACAAAGATGTGTCTTTTCCCAGTCCTGCTGGTCACAAGAGTATCCATGAAGTCCATGGACACACTCTGACCAGGTCCTTCAGGGATCGGCAAGGGCTTAATCAACCCAAGCGGAGCCTGAGTCCTAGGTTTGTCCCTTTGGCAAACCTGGCAGGTTTCAACGTATCTCTTAGCATCTTGAATCATAGAGGGCCACCAAAATCTCTGCACTAAGTTCGCTGATGTCTTTCTATAGCCAAAATGACCAGTTGCATCATGACATTCTCCAAAAAATAAAATACGTAAAGACTCACTATCAGGAACACACAACCTCTTATTCCCTGCCTTCTCAAGAAACAGTAAGCCGTCTATCATCGTAAATTCATCCAAAGTCTTTTTGTCCTTTGCTTGGAATCTACGGATGATTTCAGACATAACTGGATCTTGCTGATAGGCTTCCACCAATGATCGAGTTAGATCGTTAGATATGCCAAATTCAGTAACTAACGCGCCCAGATAATCTGCCCGACGAGATAATGCATCAGCCACTTTGCTGTACTCTCCCTTGATGGGATCAAGTTGATAGTCATACATGTCTATCACTTGTATCCATCGCTTGAGTGCATCCGAGAGCACAAACTGTGTCTTGATCTCATATAGAAGAATCTGCCTAGGAGATAATGTCTCCAATGAA